TCTACGACCGCAAAAAATAATAAAAGGTCGCACACTCAGAGCAAAATGAAACCAAACAAACCATCATTATTCATAACCATTACTACTCATCAAGATTACAAGAAAGAAAAAGAAATAAAAAACAATACAAAATTAATTCTAATCTTTGGCGTCAAACTCACCATCTTCATAGTGCTCTCCGTTGCGTTCTCGCTTGCCCCCAAACTCATCCTCACCAGGAGGTACTTTAGAGGAAAATATCCTCAGGTAGATCCTCAGAGACCAGTGGAAGATCCAACTTCCCAAACGAAAAGTCCGTCACCGGAGTTAAATTATGACAAAACTGTGAGTTAAATTATGTGAAATATTTTAGACAAGGCAATTAATAAATTCAAATGAATTTTGTTTACAGTGTAAAAGTTTAAAATCAATTAAAATATATATAATAATATTATATTCAAATGTTGTTGTAAACTTTTTAATGTAACTAAAATTTATACGAATATCTCAGGTGTAGCCTAGAAAATTTCCTAGTAATATTAAAATTTAAATTAAATTTTAATGGCATACAATAATAAATAACTTAAAAATTAATGACAGAAAGCCTTGTTAGGATTCTGCTAATAGTATAGATGTGCGTTGGATCCACGTCAGTATTTAACCTTTCAGTCGAGTTGAGATCATATAGGTGCATTAGCAACATCGTAATGGCAATTTTGTAAGATGACTATATAGCAACAATTACTATGAGCTAAAGCAAAAAGTTATTAAGCAATCCCTACCCAAGCCCATTGTAATATAAGAAGCCGAATAAAATCCATGTTGCTAAGGTTCTTTGAAAGTAGATTATTATAACTACGTTTTTAAGAATTTTGATTATAATCTTGACAGTTGCCACAAAGCAAGTATCATTCTTCAAATTTTATGATAAAAATGGAACTCCTATATAGCTCTCGGTGTTTATATCTTCATCATTCTTTTCTTCTTCTTAAAGCTCTTATGAACTATATATATCATTTCCGATATTTTATCTTTTTAGTAAGCTATAAAAGCTTGAATAAACTTGTCTGGAAATGCTTACATTTATAAGATTGACATTTTCAGAACCAGTAAAGTAATTAGTCTACCAATTATTGATTGAGCCAGTGGTGCGAGTTAGACCTCCAAAATAAAATATCTCACTTCGATTCTTGAACTGAAAAGATATTTGTGCTTTAGCAGCTCAAATTCGTCATATCGATTAACCAATAATAGAAGACACTTTATCGAATAAGTGAAGCATCACTATAGACTTTTACTTAGTTAAAGGTTCTTACATAATTATTGGTTTTAATGACTTTTACTAATTTTAAAGCTCCTGTACCATTTTTATTATTTTTCTTGTGTTGCGTAAATAGTTTTTAAAACGCAATAATTATGGCTTTTTAAGTATTTTTTCTAAAATGATAGTTTATAAAGCTTAAAGTTTGTAAAACAATTTTAGCCACCGCAATTGTAAACAATCAAGCCTAGTTTTCTTATTAAAATTTTACTCAGGGAGATGTTTTTCTTCAAATTATACATTTCATTAATAATCGTAAAGAGATTATATATATACTTAGAAGGTTCTTTGTTTAAAGAACACACAAAACACTTCTAATTACAAGAATAAAGATGTACCAGATATAGGTCATATTTTACTGTTTTGGGCCTATGAATTTATAGAACAATATGGCCCATTTTCTGTTTAAGTATATACTTGTAGTTTTCAAATTCTTTCATGATTTTCATGATGGCTTTAAAATATCCAACTGATTTGGTTGATATACATCTATACTATTATTTGCGCAGTGATTTTTCGCATCTGTGACACTGAAAGTTGGAGTGCTTAATATCTATATTACCCTTAATAAATTTTATATATAATTTATAATATAATAAAAACGCAATTTATAAAATAATATTAGATTAGTATGTTATTATCGTTGATAGCTGATAATAATATAATATAAAAAAATTTATCCAAAATAAAAAATTTCAAAAAGAAGATAATTTTTATATATATTGTTATTATCTGGAAATAATATTGTAACAACCTGATAATTCTTATATATTGTAAATTATATATAATTATTAATTATGATAAGGACATTTACATTAATTGTTGCTTTATATTTTTAGTAAGTTTCTTAAATATGGTAACAATTTATAACTCATCATTAATTAGGTGTTTTTCCTGCACTTGCGGGCATAATTGTCTTATGAATATTTTTTAGTTGATGTTTCATTAATTTAAAAATCAGCATAGTAAATTATTATTTATGTTTTAAAAAAGTAAAAATCAAACATCAAATAATTTTCAATGACAAAACTCAAACATTAGAAATATTTAAAAGAATATACTTCTATAACTATTTTTCTTGATTTATATTTAATTATAATATTTATATCTTAATTTTAAATTTTATATTAGAAAAACATATTTTCAAGATAACAATATAATGCATAAGTTATTTATTTTCTGAAAATATAATATGATATTTTTTAACTATATAATAATTATTTAAGATTATATAAATTATGACATATAGTTAAAATTACCTAAAATCATTGAGAACTTAATGAATCAGCAAATTCACTTCTTAAATACTTTTTCTTGAGTGATGATTTATATTTAATTAATAATAGATATTTTTTCTATATTACTTTTAAATTGTATAATATAAAAATATATTTTCAGAATAACAACATAATACATAAGGATTACCATATTCTCTAAAAGTATAATATTATTACTATAAATTTCTTTCAATTATAGAATAACTACAACTTGTTATATCTTAATTTTAAATTTCTAATAGAAAAATATATTTTCAAGACAGCAACTTAATACATAAGAAATATTTTATTTTCTAAGAATCTGATACTATTAATATAATTTTTTGTAAAATATATAATAAATTATACATAAAATTATATAAATTGATAAATTATCAAAATTACCTAAAATCATGGAAAATATAACAAATCAGTAAACATCAAATTCCCTTCTTAAATAATATTATTGATTTTTTACATGTTAATTTTAAATTTTATAACAGAAAAATATTTTTTCAAGATAACAGCATAATACATAACAGTTAACTTATTTTCTAAAGTATCATATTATTAATATAAATTAGTTTTAAATATATAATCAACAATAAACAAAACTATAAAAATTCTCATAAATGATTAAAATTACGTATGATCATGGAGACAAATCAACAAAATCACTTTTCAAATAATTGTTTTGATGATTTATAGTTAATTATGATTTATATTTAATTATTAATAATATAATTTTTATATCTTAGTTTTAAGTTTTATAATAGGAAAATATATTTTCAACATAACAGCATATCCCATAATGATTATCTTATTTTATAAAAATATTAAATTATTAATATAAATTGGTTATAATTATATTTAAATATTAAATTATTAATATAAATTTGTTTTAGATAAATATAATAGTGTTTATATCTTAACTTAAAATTTAAGTTTCATATATTAAAATATATTTCAAGATAATAACATAATTCACAAGAATTATCTTATTTACTAAAAATATGATATATTCATATGATTTGTTTTATTTACAAATAAATAATAGTATAGATTAAAAATATGATAAATAAAAAAAAATTACCTAAAATTATGGAGAACATGACAACTAAGCAAATTTACTTCTTAAATAATAGTATAGATAAAATAAATAAATAATAATAGTAAAATAAAATGGAATAACATTTTAAAATTTTGCAATATTCTTAAATTTATTTTTAAAATTATGTAATTTTCTTTTTTTAAAATTATTTAATTATAATTTCTATAATTTATTTATAATTGTATTAATAAAACAAACTTCAAAAATTATGATATTATTTTTATATATATATATATATATAATTTTCTAATTTCATTACTGTGAATTTCTTTTAAATATCTAAAAATTGTAGGAATATTATTTAGTTTTAAGTTTTGATAATTTAATATACCTATCAAAATAATAATTTTCTAGAATTTATTTAATATATTATAAACAAAAGCAAAAGATAAAAATATTTCTTAGATCCTAGTTTTAAATATTTACATATAGATTATTAATGTAAATTAAATAAAAATATATTTTATCTTAATTTTTATATATAACTAATTTAAATTTAAAAATATTGTACAGAAATAATAAAATCTAAAATTAAACAAACATTTACTCATGCACATGATGCAGAAAAACAACTAATTATATTTTATGATAGGTTTCCTCAAAACACTTGCCAGATCCTTTCCACTTGGCACCACACTGATCAGCACATTGTTTAGATGTAAAATTTTGTGCTACAAAATAACTTAAATTAATATATTAATAATTAAAATAAAATATTTTTAAACTCTAAATTTTACATTTTAAAACTTCATATTACTTCAAAAATGTTACAAAATAATAATAAATTTGTTAACAAAAAATATTTCAACTATATTATAATATAATATAAAAATATATAGAAATAGAACAGAAAATCTCATAGTTTTGAATATACATATTTTTAAGTTTGTTAAAAATCTTTTTTATCGGGTCGGGTATATTGGGATCGACTTTTTTCGAATCTAGGTCTAATCGGGTTGGTTTTTTTCGGTTTCAACTCTTTCGTATAAAATAAATTCTGACCCAAAAAATACTTACAAATATTCGATTAATTTTCAGATCAAATATTTCCGGATTTGTTCCAAGTCGGATTTTTGGATCCAGATTAAAATGCCCAGACCTATTCTGGAGGTAGTACAAGAAGAACAACACGATGTAATCTCCTTCTTTGGCCTCGATTGAGAAAAATACCATTTGGAAAGTAAAGGTTTGGGAGGACTCAGATATGGCTAATCGAGTACACCTCGAGTACAAATGAAATTAGTCTCACATTTGCATAAAATTTGCAATATATTTTCTCAATCCATTTCTATTAAATATTATATTTTATGATAACATCAATCACAAACAAATATTAAGTTTTACATTTGAATTTGCAGATGCACGTGTTGCTATAGGCGTCAAAACACGTGCCAACTCCATTCCACTTGGCAGTACACTCAGCAGCACATTGTTTACGTTCACACGTTCCTCCTGATTCATCAATATAGTCAGTGCATATTTTATCTTGTCCTTGTGACTCCATCGTCACTGTTCCTAAATAAATATTTAAAACATATATTAGTATAATCTCAATTATTTTGTCACTAATAAGGTTATGAACAAATTAAACATAACGAGGTAAAAGTAAAAATCTAGAAATATTGAATAATTTTGAAGAGTAGAACAAACCTAAAACAAGAACAATCATGAAAATACCAAGAAAGGTGGTTTTAGCCATTTCAAAAGATACAATAAGATTGATAAAAAGAACTGATGTAGTTGTTTTGTATTCGTAAATATCTAAAGAGAGAACACACACATATATATATATATATATATATATATATATACAAAGTACCACAAATAGTGTAAACAGAAAAGGTAGAGTCAACATTTTTGATTTTAATTAATTAAAGTCAACTTGTAATTAATTAGATACATGAAATCAAATAGTTCATAACCTAAATAAGCAAAATATCTAGAAATTAACTAAAAACAAAAGTGATAAGAACTTAATAAATCATACTCTTTATCTTTCATATTAAGTTTACTTCAAAAAAATTTCCATACATTTAATTTTTTTCCTGATAATTATTTTTGATAATTGAATATTATCACAATTTTAATTTTAATTTAATTAATTAATCAACAAAATCCAATGGCATTTATTATAAAACAGATGGTGTAATTAATAACATTTTGTTATCTACAAGTATTAAATAGATATTGAAAAGAAAATCTTGGAAATATAAAACCATGAAAGAAAAGTTTTAATAATGAGAACTTAGAAACATAACTAAGATATTTTGAATCTTATCTAATAAATGTGAAACTAGGTAAGTCACTATATCCATTGACCATTGGTTTTAAATTAAATTTCTAAATTTAACAGATATAATACAAAAGTATAAATTTTTTTTTGACAAAACAAAATTGTTGATTTAACTATAACGGTTTTAGTAGGATTAGTTGTCATTATAAAGTTTAATATGATTTGAGATAGAACATGTAAACTCACTATCTTGAAATGGTGTTACTATGATTATGAAATTAACCTAAAAATAATAACTAGATTCAAACCCACGACATGAGTTGGTATTTTCAAAAGTACCAAAATTGAAAAGTATATAAAGAAAATGAGAGTCAACTTGTAATAAATAAGATGACTTAGACTAACAAATCATGGAAAATAAATAGGAAATATCTTAAAAATAATTAAAACTGATAGAATTCAGAGTAAGGTAAATCTAGATTCATTATCAGTTGCTTTGAATTTTAAATTTCCAAATTTAATAGAAGTAGAATAAAAGATTATATTGTTGGTTTAAATAGAATGCTCTAGACAGAAATAATCAATTTGTAAACTATAGAATTCAATAGAAGTTTGACTAAAAAGAATGTTATTATTGTTATTCTTCTTTCGTATTATATATACATTTTCCGCCAATTATTGAGATAGTGTTATTCATGTTCCATTTAACAGAAAAAAAAATTGTATTTTAAAACCAAATATGTTTCGATCAGCGCTTGGGAAAAAGTGAGTTTCTTTTTATAAACAATATTTGATAGAAATTTTATTTTGGTTTTGTTAGATATTTTTATGTTACAAAATCTTATTATATTTAAGAAGTGAATAAATTTTGTTTAAAATTATATAGTTTCCGAATTAATTTATTTGAGATTTATATTTATTCTCTTATGTTACAACGATATTATAAGAGTTATATTTATTAAATTATTAAAAATTAAAATTTACTTGACATATTTTAAACTAATTTAATAGTATATTCTTGTAGACATGCTTAAAATTTTAAGGATTAGGGGGAAATATCAATACTACTAAAATATCACAAAAATTATAAATCAGTTTCAAGTGACATAAATATCAAATTTTGAATAAATTGTTACAAATCAAATTACTAAACATTATTTTAGGTATTTTTAAAGTTGTTAGGATTAAGAAAAAATACTATTAAAATCATATATATATATAATGACACATCAACAAGTTTGTGAGACCTACTATAATTATGTTTACTTATTTTACGGATGATGAATAATATCCCCTGTAAGAGCATCTCCAAAAGACACTCTATAACTTCAAATATGAAGTTTTTGCCTCTCCAAAAAGGAACTCTAAAACTTCAAATTTGAAGTTTTGAGTAGTGAAACTTCAAATATAGAGTGTCACTAATCAAAACTTCAAATTTGAAGTTTCATATTTTATTTGCATTTTGGTCCTTACAATTACACATCATATTTATAATAATCTTAAATATTTATTATTTATCGTTTTAATCTTTAAAAAATATTGTTTCATAAATAATTCAAAATTATTTTTATAAATTTAAAATTTGTATATGTTTTAAAAAAAACATCAAGATAATCCTTAAAATATTTTGTTTGTATTTTAATATTTAATTATATATTTATATTTATAGTTTTATATTTTAGTGTAACATTTTATCAAATAATATTTCTTTAATATTTTTATAATATTTTTATACATGTGATAGTTATTTATAAAAGTATTATGAATTTGAATTAGTTATGACAAATATAAGGACCATTATATAAAATACAAATAATTTTGAAATTAGATTTAAAGGTTTGCTTTTGGGGTATAACACTTTCAAACTTCAAATATAGATTTTTGCAAACTCTATAATAGAGTCTTTTTGGATGCTATAAAACCCTTGCATCTCATCTACCTTTCTCTCCAATATAGCCTGACGTTGTGGATTCACCGAAGCTTTACTAATTCAAAGTGTTAGTTTTAAAGTTCAACTAAAATAAATATTTATTATGTTATCAATTAACTGCGAAACAAATGTGGTGCGATTGGAATAATAATAAAAACATTAAATACACAGTTATATGGACATTTTTGTTATTATTCATAGAGACAGGACAAGTGGTCACCTAAGAATATTATATCTACAACCCAATAACGCATATTATACGTAACCATGATGGTATTAGTTATATTTGAGTCCGCCTAGCTTCAATGGTATAACCGAAGTATCACTTGGTCTTACTTCTTGATGAAAGAATACACAGCTTTATCCTTCAGACCTTCACATCCAGTATCGGCGCACATGTCAAGCTATATATGTCCTAATTGCAATGATCTATTAGCGTTACACATGCACAATCCAACAAAATAAAATCATCTCACAAACCATCATTTCTCAAACATATTACTTATACTTAGCAGTCTTACTCGAATAGAGGGATTGTATAGGTGACAGCGTATATACGTTCTTAAGCATTCGCAAACCATCATGTACAAAACGTCAATAAGCATTCATCTTCAATATAGTTGCAGCTATGTGGATTCATGTCCTAATTGTAATGCTTCTTCGCCTAAAGAAACAGAAACGAAATGGACATCTCCCAAGCAACCACTATATTATGTTTCACTTGGCATACTTTTTATGATGTCTGCATTTGTTCTGTTAAGATATTTATAAGTTGTAATTCTCAAAACATAGGTGTTCCACTTGACCTAGGAACTTGATTGTAGGCTAATATAACTATCAATTAATTAATATACCATCAGGGTCTATCATCACCTGTCATACATTCAAGTTGAATTATCCATCAATAAGAATTAAAATAGAAACGAGAAAAATTTAATACCAGCATCATATTATTTACAAAAACTTATTAGATTATTGACATGTCCCTCTCTTTTTTTCCATGGAGTCAGAAAATGGAAAAATTATAAGATGGAAAGGAAGTGGTGAATTAAAATGTTATATAAGGACAATAAAGAGCAGCAATCTCATCAACATTGTTGAATGTCTTAAAATATTTTTGATATATGTTATATACATACCAAGGTGAAGAAGGATCTGAGATAACCGCCATGGATCTCAACCCTAGGCTTGGAAGAGACAAAGGAAGGGAAAAGCTCATGGCCATTGGAGACTTGTTTCTTGTTGTGACTCACATTTATTTCAATTGTTTGAGTGAAAATCAAGAACATCTCCTACCACTCTTCCCACTATCAATGGCTCTATCACTCTACTTTCCATATTCTCCATTATTTTGTTAATTTTACTTTATCTTTCTAATCAATCTATACTATTAAAAGAGAAGAAGTCTTAAAAATCTACTTAAACAAGGTTGTTGCACCCTTTCACTATACTAATTTTAGCCTATATTTTCTCTAACTATACGACTCTCTAACTAATTTAAATAATCTCATTTAAACTTAACATATCATTTGGATTATTCTTACTTCAATTTTATTAAAACAAATCTTAGCAACACGTCAGTTATTAATCTCGATAAAAACGGGAATAATAAATCCCAAAACCAAAACGTGACTTTTGAATCCCACTTCCAAAAATTCAGAACTACTTTTATTATTCAGTTTTTGTTTGGTAAAACTGATTATTCATGTTTGAGATAAATAGTATATGTTTAAGATATAAATATATAATAAAAAGGGATCTTAATAAAAGATGTAAATCTATTATTTAACTATATCTATTATATTAAAAGAGAAGTCATGATTCACTTCATGTGTGATATTTTAATTTGAACCATCCTTAGAAATTTATAAAATTTTACATAACATCAATATAATATCTTTTCACATCTTTAATTTTATTTGAAATACAAATAAATAGTTTTAAGAAAATTCTAACAAAATCTTTTAAAAATCTTTTATAATCTTTTCAAGATATAGTTTCAACAATTATTTGATTAAAATTTTAATTATTATAAAATATAATTAAACTTTTAATTCATTTATTTTATAACAAAAAATTAAAATGATGTAAAATACGTTTAACAATATCCCAAAATTTTCTTTATGTATTATGTAGGTCCAACTTAATTTAATTTTTACATATATTTCAAATTTAGAAATAAAAGAAAATATATAAATTAGTAATGTTACATAATAATGTTATAAAAATTGTTACAAAAATAAAAAAATTATAAATTTTATATTAATAATATTATAAGTCACACAAACGTTATTATAAAATTGGATAGTATACATAATCAAATTATATTTATTTATTGATAAATTTTATTATATAATTTTATATATTTCATATTAAAATACCCGCACGGTTGTGCATGTCAAAATCTAGTATACTATTAAAATAATCATTAGTAAATCTACTATAAAATTTGTTTGGTCTTATGTATAATTTTGATTTTTTATTTATCTTATCATTAATTATTTTAATAATACAATACTTTTTTGTGGATTCTACTATTACTCTTTATTTCATGTGGGATACAACATTACAGTTGTTATGCAATAAATTTATATACTATATTTTATACTTATTAATAGACCTACACATTAACTAAAATGAGTTACTATATGTCATATAACATATTATGTTATGTAGTTTTCACATTATATAATTTCGGTTATTTATAAAATTAAATCTGATAAAATAACTTCAGCAAAACATCTGTTAAAAATAAAATTATATATTACATTAAATTAGTTTAAAAATATTTATAGTGCAATTTTGTTATTTAATATAATTCTATAAAATATTAAAATATTTATAGTGCAATTTTTTTATTCAATATAATTCTACAAAATATTAAAAACGCTATTTACATATTCTATTAAATTAGTTACAATCGGCCAAGTAAATTTTAAGTCTCACAAAATTATTAAATATAACTCTTCTAAAATGCATATAAAATATAATGAAAGAGAGAGTAAACATCACACTGAATCTTCGGGTTGGGTATGAATTAATTCATTTTGGGTTCGGATCATCCTTCTAAGTCTTAGACATTTGTATCTAATTAGGTATTTACAATTTTTCAGTTTGGGTTGGTTGATCCGCGAATATCTATGAATTTTAGGTATATAACATCCCAGATCAGTTTGGGTATTAAACCCAAAAAAAAAACTCAAAATACCCCGAACACTGAAAAATATCCGAAAAGAAAAAAATACGTACCAACATTAAAACACATCTAAAAACTCAAAGATATCCAAAAATACTCAAATATCAAAAAGAGCCAAAATTGTATTTGAAATCTGATTCGAGGAACCAAAAATACCTAAAATATTAAAATATCCAAAATATATTTAAAATTTTAAAATATTACCTGAAACTTGAAACTACAAAAAAAATCCAAACCTGAAAATTAAAAATTATCCGCAATACTGAAACATATTTGAAATACTCAAATAAATCTAATATACACAAAATAAGTATTTTGACCCGATCGGGTCTTGGTAGAACCTCTTAATTCAAAGAGGGACATGTAGGTCCAAAAAAATACCCAATAGATACTTTGCCTACGACATGGACTAAATTAGACCATATATTTTGGTCGGTTTTGGTTTAGTTTTCTGGGTCCGGGTAAAAGGACCATGCCTAAGAAAGAAATACATAAGAGTGTACATATAAAATAATAAATAAACTATTTTAAAAAGTATAATATTTTTGTAAAAGCTTTCTTTTTGATATAATATGACTTTTTAACATAATAATATACACCAACCACAAAATACTGTTTTATAACGAAATTTGTTTGTAATCCAAAATATTTGTTCGAAAAATAATATGCGTTTCAGAAGCGCGGGTTAAAATCTAGTGTGGCATTAAAAGTGAGCTTAGGAAATAAAGATATTTCTAGTGGTTGTGGAATACCAAAGAAGACTACGATATCTATTTATAGGGGTTTCAACTTGGAGAGACATCAAGAGAGAGACAGGAAGACTAGAGATGTGTGTTAGGAGCAATACTCGTGGTTGTAAGATTCGGACAAATCTAAAGAATGAGTAGACATTTAGTCCCAATTGTATACTAACCTTACCTCGTCTTTCATAGTAGGAACTAAATTAGGAAGAAGTAATGAGTAATTGCTTTTTATTTTTATTTTTCAAAATAGAGATACTATTTTCAATTAAGCCGATCAGGGAAAGAGTTCATTACAAGGGTATAAACTAATGTGAAGAAAAATGAAGAAAATGTTTTCAGATTAATTCTAGAAAATAGTTCTACGATGGGTGCGTGGTCTTTTAGTAATTGCTTTTTAGGTAAATTTTAGAACTATATGTTTAATTGATTTAAGAGATTATTAATAACGATATGAAATTTAATATACTTGTTCCGAATACAATCATCATATTTGTTGACATTTTTTTTCTTTTTGAATTATACAAGATATTCTGATCTTACAGAAGTGATTCACACTAATCACATGTCACATATCGATCATCAGTTTTTGATGCCGAAATATTAATTCTTTAGTGGGGACGCGAACCTGTTGACGTGTTTTCGCTTTGAAGTTTGAACAATATGACTGAACTCATATAGTCGTTTTATGAATTTCACGCTTGGGCGTTTTCTTTGTGCAATACTTTGAAATTTTATATTTTTTTCTATCAATTCTTATAATTCAGTTTATTTTTTAGAATTAAAAATTATATTTGAACGTTTAGTCAAAAAACCAAAGAGACTTCTAAGAACGTTTAATTAATTACTATTTAGCAAAAAAAAGTTCATTAATTTTTATATAATGGTTTGGGTGTCCAAAGATATGAGGATATGTCTAGAACGAATAATGCAAACCAAGATAAGCATAATACTCGATAATCTTAATTTTGACATGGCAATTGGCATATAAACATTCGCTTGAAAGTTAAAACGAATCAATAACAAAAAGCCTCGACATTGGATGAAATTTGGTTTATTATTTGAATAAACTATAGAGTATCGCGTGAAATTATATAGACGTGATTAAAGAAGATTTGGGTTTTGGGTGCCATTTTCTTGAGAATTCGTTTGTGCAAAGAGGGTCTCATTATAATCATGTCCTTTTGATTAGTATATGTTCGGAAGATCTATTCCATAACATTCATATTCTCCTCATATTATAGTGGAGAATTTTGAATTTTTTAAGTGGAATAGAAACAACTTTATTTAAATATTGACCACGAGCAAATGAATTTCTCAATCGAATAGTAGTTAATTTAAAGTCTTTTTAAGTTGGCACCACTTGACCCATCTTCACCTCTACAAAAGAGCGATTTGTTATCCATCTAACCACAGAGTGAGCTTCTTTAGAATTGTTGCATTCTTTAAGGGGATTTTTGCAAAATTGACTCAAAACTCATAGTCAAACACAAAACTAACTTCTTCTTTTAACTCATTTGTTTTTGTCCTATTCACCCCACATCTTTATTTTATTTACGAAAATGCCATTAATTTGTTTTTTTTACTTTTTTCGAAAATGACATTTTTACTCTCTCAACCTCATCATCTTCAAGTATTTACAACATTACCATTGCCATGAATACTCCCAACAACCTTGTACAATTCAACAACCTTGTACAACCAAAGTTTGAAGCTTTTAATGCACTTAAACTCGATACTCATACTCTCTTTCTCAATTGTTATGAACTAAAAACAACATCTCTTTCACTTTGTCTTCATATTCATACCAAACACTAAAGCTTTTGATAGCAAATTTTTTTATGGTTGATAGAGCCATTTAAGCATACAATTGTTGGTGGGTTACTTTCGTTCGATGTTCTGGGTGGTTGGAGAAGACTCTGTGAGCAAAGGAAGTCATCTCATCTAGTTTAAGGTTTGAAATTGAATTTTTTTTTCCAGATCTCTTCGCGTAGAAGACTTACCCGTAAGTCATCTGGATGTAGAAGACTTACGGATAAGTCTTTTGGTCAAATGGACGACTTACTTCTAAGTCGTCCAGCTTTGTTTGTTAAAAAAAAAAACACCAGATGACTTATAATTAAGTCGTCTAGGTAAAACAGGCTACTTTTTCATTTGATCAAATTGTGTCAGATGTTTGACTTTTTTCTGGACGACTAACAATTAAGTCGTCCCTGGGAAAGTTAAAATATCAATATTTTATTAAATCTAGATGACTTACGGATAAGTCGTCTTAAGTTAGTTTTGCAATTCAAAAATAAAACTTAGATTTTTAACTTCTCCAGACGACTTAATTGAAAGTCGACCGGTCAGA